TTACGCATGTTTGAGCTGAAGCTGAAGTGTGCACTCTGAATGCTCTCTTACCCATGTCCTTGTAATGACGGTTCTGAGCCTGAAACAGTATTTTCAGTCTTTCCAAAGGAGCTGTAGATGTCTTAGCACAGCATGTAGAAATGCCTGTAAACAAAAAGAGACAAGAGCTTTGTGTAGTACCTGGGTAGGAGCAGTCATATTCCATAAAAATGAAGAGAAATTAGTTAACCATTTCAGAAATGCCAATGCTTCAGAGTATGAAGTATTTTTAATAAATCTTCAGTTTGTTCTAAACTACAGGGATTACTGTAATTTAAAAATTTAATGAAAAACAAAAGCAACATTATGTGTTTATGTTCTGTTATTTCACGTGAATCCTCAACCTGTTAGTTGCTGCTGCCTGGTGTCATTTGTTGTAACCACAATGGAGAAAAACTGTAAACCGGTTGATTCTGTCAGAACATTAACAACAGAAAGCAAGAAGGTGAAAGACTATACTATGTCCCACTAAAGTCCATTACAGTAAATGTTTAAAGGTAAATGTTTTGTTTTCATTACACACACAGTTAATGTTTTGTTCTCGTTACATGTAGTTGAATGGCTGCATGTAATTTTACACACAATATCAAGTCCACTTCATGCAATGCGTGTCCACAACATTGATGCATGATCACTGCATGTAATATGCATGTAAAGTGTGTGCAATATTGCAATCCCTGCAATGTCAATTTCATTTTTTGTGGTAACTCAAGGGTAGAAAACATGGGGTCTGCATGGAAAACACGGGGTACCACTACTTTCCACCAAAATATAAATTTTCCTTACCAAAAAGAGAAGTTGAAATTTTGTTAGCTTAAACAACAATAAAACTCAATTCTGAGGATCCTGGAGAGAAATGCTTCTCAATCAAAAAAGCAAATTACACATTTTGTGAGGAAAAAACATTCTAGAGTCAACGTGTCATGCATTCTAAGTGGACGTTGTTTTCTTAAGTGACATAATTGTTGGATGTTGTCCTTCAGTAGCATTTTGAATGAATTGGTAAAAGAACAATGTACAATTGAGGCCTTACACTACTGTAAAAGTACAGTAGTGTAAGGCCTCAATTGAACTTTTACCAATTCATTTAAGTGACATATTTTGGACTTTCCAATTACAACCGAAAAAACTTTGTCTGGGCACTTTTGACATACTGTGAAAAGTCAAAAACTTAATTTAATTTTACTTTTGGCTGTTTGCCGGGTTTTATATAGTCAAAATGCTATCTGTGGGGGAGCACACTTCACTCCCCTGCCTCCCTGCGTTGACAACCATGTCATTCTAATGCACACACCCCTCCAATTAAAAGTACTCATCACTGTTTGCAGAAGTGAAGAATAAACCATGTTGCTAATTATTTAAACTGTCATTAAAGTTAATGAAAAACGAAAAAAATCACTTGGGTGGTTTGTTCTCTCATTAAAGACCATGTGATGCATTGCATTCTTTAAAGAGTTGTTCCTTTATCCAATTAAGGCAAACTGTTCATTCATTCACACGTGACTGAAAATTTGAAAGAAAGAATTCTCAGGAGTATCATAACATGGTCTGTAATAAATGAAGCAAAAAGAAAATGGCAAAGCAAGTTAGCTCTATTACAACACAACATATCGTAACCTCCAGGTTAGGAACATAGCTCGAAAACTGTTCTGATTGCAAACACTCAAGATTAATTGCTATTCAATTATTACCTACTTCAGTAAAATCGCTAATCTGGAACGTTTAACATTGGGCTGCAAAACCAAAATTTACCTTGAATATTAATACCATTAATATGAATCTAGACATGACAACCACTAATTAGTGTCACAGCTGGGTTCAGGGAAAAGTTACAGCCTGATTTTAGTTGATTGAGCAACTTTTAGCAAAGTCATAAGACTATAGCACGCCAATAAAATTCCACTACGTACTTTAGAGTAAAATAACTGTAGTACTGCTTAATACCTAGTGTGTAACCTAGATTAGGATCTAGCATACATCAGTATCATTCTAGCAATAGTGCAACAGCTATCTGTTATTCACGCTTTCTCAAGTTACCAGCATTAGCTTTCCCGCCCACCCACTTCCATGGTAGTAATGATTTTCGTTGTGTTTATAATCTTTGTAATTAATGTATTTGTTATTATCTTGTACAGGCTCTCGATGGGCCTCTAGTTTTATCGTAGTTTATTCGAAGATTGTAATTAGCAGAATCATTTTCCGTGTTGCTTGTATGTGTAGGATTAAAATAAACTGCCTGATCCCAAACATGTGGTTCGAAAGTGAGTTACTGTGTTTAGTTCCGCGTTCGTTTCGCGTAGCAAATGAAAAGCATACCCTTAATAATGCTGGTAATTAATTCTTTACTTAGTTTAAACACAACAATTCTTTACTGATCAGTTTCAAACGAAAATCATTCTAACTGAAAACAATGTGATTCTGAACATTTGCTTTAAATGAAATAAAAATAAAAGCACAAAGCAACATAACGCGCCTGTCCACGGTATTCTGTAAAGAAAACATAAACTACCTGAAATCAATGAAATTACATGCAATTATATCTTTTTCGAAAAAGAAATGCCAGCAAACAAAAAAGTATTTTTTAACCCTTCATCTTTGTTCCAACAGTGAGCACAATAATTCTTTTTGTAACATGAACAAATGTGTGTATAGAGTTACGATACATAGTTGCCGTATTTACTTGATTAAACCCCAGCCTTTAAGAAGGACCTCAAAAAAAATTGCAACAAAAATAACCATAGAAATTTATAAGGAATAAACATTAAGCTYAACTAAAATGTAGCAATAAAAGTATTCGTATCAGGCGTTTTTTTTTTCTCCTTCCTCCTGCTGTTAAAAAAAGAACGCTTGATCGCAGGTTAATACACTGTGGTTTATTTGTTTTACTTTGAATACCTAAAACGTGACCAAAGTAAGATCTTCATCCAAGAATTGAAGCGAATTGCGAAGAATTCTAAAGCGTAAAAAGCAAACCAACCATGGCTTTGACAGTAAGCATAACTCCACTAATTCTCTCCTCATTCAAAGCAATAAAATAGTCTGGCATGCATGGATATAAACAAAACCATAGACCATCCCGTGGCTGAATTACCTTTCATGACCTTTTAGACTTTCAGTCTTCGGCGGTAACACCAAGCGATTGAGAAAAAAGAGATTGCGATTTAAAGATGCATTTTGGGATCAGCTAAAGCAAAAGGAGTGTGTAACTAAAACTAACCTCCAGCTACGAATGTTAGAAGTACGTGGTCAGCCCTTGATTCCATCTTCACGCAGAAAAGCCAAAAACGTGACCAAAGGAGCAAACCAAGACGGCTACGTCAATTTTCACAACAGAACTCAGTTTTCACATCTTGGCATAAAAGCTTCAATTCTTCAAGCAGAGAAAAACTTCGAAGAATTCATCTGTACGCCTTCGACTGTCCAAAATGTTCAGTTTCCTTTTCCTCAAGAATATATTGGCAAATAACCAAAACACTGATCATGACCAGTGAGTGGTCATGATACAAAGCACGCACGGCTGAGCACGTCCGAACATCACGTATGTTGGACACGTGATTTCTTGAATGCATATCACGTTTGAAACTCGTTCTCAGAGTCTTCGTTCCCCTTAACCAGCGGTCGGAAAACGAGAGCTCTGG